GATTACCGTACCCCCCCCCGAAGTGATAATTGACCTGTCCCTTAGTAGTAGGAAAGGCGACCTAAGCTTTAGAACATCCACCTGCCAAATCTAACCGCCTCTTTTGATATGGTCGTCCAGGTTGCTAATTAATAAAGATCGGTTTGGTCCCGGTGACCAAACTCCCCCGTTTCAATATCCAAATTTCGCAAAATCGTCGTCATGTGACCATAAACTGGGCACAGCGCCAACTGCTCTAATGTAATGCTAATGCCCTAACCCTAATTTTTATCTTATTTACCGGAACAAATTAATTTCCCTTTTTGGTTTATATTACCGGCACCAATAAGTAAAGCATTGTACCCAGACCCGGTCCTTTAATAAGTTCAGAAAAAGTCAACTTAATAGACAAATTCAGGTGTCAGGTGAAATTACTTGTAATCTAATTGATTGAAAAGTTGCAATTAGAGATATGATTGTTCAGATACCAGAGTTTATCCGTATCTACTGTATTTTATTCACAAGATAGATTAATCGGATAAATCAGAATAAAAAAAATTAAATAATTTAATGATCACAATAATAACGATAATGGATCATGTTCTGTCTGGAGTAAACTAATGGCCTTCTTACGCTGCGTAGCGTACATAACATAGTCACTTGATGTTTCAATTTCTATTCAGAATGCATGTAATATGATCGTGTGATTTTTTTGTCTTGGTATTTTTTTGTAACATTATAGCTGTTGCCCGGGTCGCTATTTATCTACCCTTAGGTAACAGCTCTACGTATTATTTGTCATCATGCACTATTATCGAATTGTATGCGTAACAGGTAATAGGTAAGATAATAATGTAATTTTGTTACACAACTGGATCGAATTCGATGGAATTGTAATTAAGGCATTAGGATTAGGACATTCAAGATCGGGGCATTAGCGTTAGGACAGAGTTTTATATTTTAGGATTAGTGCATCAGTTCGAGTTGTTTTTAGATTGGTGAGATATTTTGATGTATCACCTGAGTCAGATGATTGATTGATGATCTCTACGTATTCCTTATCGTTATTAACAAAAGCATATGGTTATAAAAGTTATTCGAAACCACCCGTCAATCTATTACAAACAAAGTTGCATCTACGAGAGTAAAATACAAAGAAAGTCGATACAAAATGAGTTGGAAGAATAGAGAAAACTAAACTATTACAAAACTAGTTAGAATAATAGAAACAACTACACTATATTCAAGAGTAGATGTATAAAGCGATTATGAAGACTAATACTTTATGTCAGAATGATTAAGTGTCAGCAGAATGTCATTGAATATAACATAGTATGAAGCGTCTTGATTAGGCTTAGCATTTCACGCAATTTCCAATAATTAGATTTATGCAATCTTTCATGTGATATGTAATGTGTCATCTTTGCATCGTTTGAGGAGAATATATGGTTTGACGAAATATATGAATTATATTGCTTGGATGTAAATAAAAAAGCAATTAGAAAGTGCATTTGGTGGATTCTCCGCATGCAAATTGTTTAACAGTGCACCTGACTTATTTATGAATAAACAGTTTGGGTTCTCTTGAAATTATCATATTTGCAAAGATTAGCATTCTAGCAATGCCGGACGGTACTATTAAAATATAGTATCCGAGCCAGGCACTTGCTGAAAATTTAAGAGGTTATCAATTATTCGCGGAATTACCACTGTCATACCATTGATAAATAATGCGGGGTTAAGTTTTGAAATTTTCAATGTGAGAACGTGAAATAAAGTAAATATATGATTCGGTCCTTTGTGACACCTTAAAAAGTATAAAAGCTAATGCTTTATCGTGGTTTATCTATTTAAAGTAAATCACCTTGTAATTATATATTTATAATATTTGTAAATCAAGACCAAGAATCAATAACTAGTTCGAGTATTATTCCGTTAGTAGAATCTATCATGCTTTCCAAGACTAAAGAAAACCAAATTCGTATAATTATTGAACCTACATTTTCTCCAATAATCGATATGATCGAACTTATATCCAAAAGATCATCTGATGGCAGAATTCCTGCGAGAGCACCAAATGCTTTTATAATTTATCGTAAAGTCTATGTCGAAACAGCTCGCGAACATGGTTATTGCCTACCAATGACCACTATATCTACTATGGCTTCACAGAGTTGGGAATAGTGATGGGACCCAAACCCGATGGTTTCGGCACGTGCCCAAATCCCAAATAGCCGAAACTAGTTTGGGATTTGCCG